CTAGATTAAAAAGTAATGCGTTTCTTTACTAGTTACGTGAAAAAAGTAATCTGATTACGTAACTTGTGTTACTTGTAATGAGTTACCCCCAACACTGGATATATATATATATATATATATAAAGGATGATCCGGTTCTCACAGGCCATCATCAGACTGTCATGTACTGTGAGTTCGCACAGCGGAAGAGGCGTCAGTGTGGCACCATCTAGTGGTTGCATTTTGAACATTATTCTCCGTCCATACTGTAATAATGGACCTGAGTCTTTACAATCTATATTTAAATTTTGTGGTATATTTTTAGGTGTGTGGGTGTTTCTATATAGAAATATGATCTCACCATCACTAAACTACACTAAATCTGGAGTTATTATAAATCAGGAATGCTAAACATTTTAAAAGCCAAATTAAATATATGTCCTTGGGCTAAAATACAATGTAAGCCTTTTCTTTTTCATTTATACTGTGTAAACAAAATAGGTGTGATATTATAAATATTTTTGATATACTTTTATAAAGATTTTAATTTTTTTTTACATACAATGTAATGTAAGGCGTGTAAACCATTGTTTAAAATCCTTTAGGAGATTGCATATTATCAGCTTAGCTAAATTCCTTCATATAGTTGTTTGCATTAGCAGTTGGAACCTGTACACCTTTATCAAACCCGTCAGCTCACGTCTTCATGAGCACACGACTCTCACCAAATCTGACGTTTGCCATTTATGCAGTAACTTTATCAATGATGCAATTAGTTTCATCTGTGACAAATGAGGAAAGCAAACATCAGAAAGGAAACTGTGAAGATGAGCTTAACCAAATGAAAGTGGCTTCAATTGACATCTTTCATTGTTAGAAACATCAGTGTGAATAATTGGAGCCATTATTGTGCACAGACGGCTGAGAGCAGTGAGACAGCTAGACCGTCAACAATTTCCTGCCAGTTGTCACAGACAATGCAGAGGTCGTGATTTAGTTATTCAGATGGTCATTAGTGCGTGGTGAAGAGTTTTCCTGTCACCTGCCTGCCTCTGTTAAGTGACTGCTTGACTAATAAGCAGGTTATGGCCAGCCACCTCAAAAGATTGATCATAACCTGTAACAAATTGCTTTTGGAATGAGACTGGGTCTTTAAACTCTCACACTAAATGTACAAGCGCATTCAGCTCAGCACAGTCTCTATTTAATTGTGATGCATGGACCATAAAGAATTCATATGTTAATGTGAAAGGGATAGAATTAAAGTTTGCTGAAAATGTATTCACCCTCAGGCCATCTGAGATGTAGATGAGATTGTTTCTTCATCAGAACAGATTTGGAGAAATTGAGCGTTACATCACTTGCTCACCAATAGATCCTCTGCAGTGAATGGGTGCCGTCAGAATGAGAGTCCAAACAGCTGATAAAAACATCACAATAATCCACATGACTCCAGTCCATTAATGAATGCCTTGTGAAGTGAAAAGCTGCGTGTTTGTAAGAAACAAATCCATTATTAAGGCAATTTATCTTTAAACTGTCGCTTCCACACAAAATATGAGTCTGTAATCCATAATAATGCTTCCTTCAGTGAAAAAGTCCATCCCCTGTTGTCCTCTTACATCAGTGTTTCTCAACCCTGGTCCTGGGCGCCCCCCAGCACTGCACATTTTGTGTGTCTCCCTAATCAAACACACCTGATTAAACTCATTAGCTCATTAAAATAAACTCCAGGACCTGAAATGGGTGTCAGATAAGGGAGACATCAAAGAATCAAAGCCCCCTAACTTATTTGTTTAGAACTGTTTTCACTTGTAACCGGTGCTTGATCTGTGCATATTTCTCCCCTGATTCAGATAAGATGATTTTGTTTCTAACAAACACGCAGCTTTTCACAAGATCTTAACTGATGGACTGGAGTCATGTGGATTACTTGTGGATTATTGTGATGTTTTTATCAGCTGTTTGGACTCTCATTCTGACGGCACCCATTCACTGCAGAGGATCCATTGGTGAGCAAGTGATGTAATGATACATTTCTCCAAATCTGTCCCGATGATGAAACAAACTCATCTACATCTTGCATGACCTGAGTACATTTTCAGCAAAATTTTCATTTTTGGGTGAACTATTCCTTTAATAGTCTTTTTCTAGCTACGACATTTTTAAACGATATGCAAGCGAGCACACTTGTTGTTTTTATAAACCGCAGATAGCCCAACAAGTTAAAGTTTATTAAATATTAATCAACAGAACTGTGACTACAATGGTTACTATGGTGTCAGTTATCAAGGAGATGAATTCAATTATAAAACAATACCATAAAAAATACAGAATAATGACAGTCAGTTTATGCGTGTTTCTTTGTAGAGATATTGACATAAAAAAATATAACATGCTTATTTATATGTTGTTGAATAAAGAGATTTGTATTCAATCAAGCCAGTTGTCAAGTGAACTTCAAACCACAGTCTTTTGTCCAGTTGGTCCTCAGCTTTCGTTGTCATCCTGCATTAATAAAGCCCGCAACAAGACATCCTCAGCCTGTATATGAAATATACAAAAAGAGAAATATTATTATATAAGAATCAAAGGAAATTGACCTTAAATAAAACATGCATATCATCATTAGCTTAAAAAAATGTTACAAATAGGGTTAACTAAAACTAGTGCAGTTAACTAAAACTAAAACCATAAAAAGATTGTATTACTTTAAATAAATTTAACTTTAATTTAAAGAAAATAAAATGATAAAAACTTAAACTTATTTCAGCTAGTGGCCAAAGCCACATTTTAATTTAGTTTAATTTGATGTACTAAAATAAATAAAAACAGAAATAAAAAATTTAAAACTATATAGACATTTTTGTTAAATGACAAAAACACACACAAAAGACTAAAACGTTAATTTAAATAAAAATGAAATCAGAAAATATATCAAGCCAGTTGTCAAGTGAACTTCAAACCACAGTCTTTTGTCCAGTTGGTCCTCAGCTTTCGTTGTCATCCTGCATTAATAAAGCCCGCAACAAGACATCCTCAGCCTGTATATGAAATATACAAAAAGAGAAATATTATTATATAAGAATCAAAGGAAATTGACCTTAAATAAAACATGCATATCATCATTAGCTTAAAAAAATGTTACAAATAGGGTTAACTAAAACTAGTGCAGTTAACTAAAACTAAAACCATAAAAAGATTGTATTACTTTAAATAAATTTAACTTTAATTTAAAGAAAATAAAATGATAAAAACTTAAACTTATTTCAGCTAGTGGCCAAAGCCACATTTTAATTTAGTTTAATTTGATGTACTAAAATAAATAAAAACAGAAATAAAAAATTTAAAACTATATAGACATTTTTGTTAAATGACAAAAACACACACAAAAGACTAAAACTTTAATTTAAATAAAAATGAAATCAGAAAATATAAAAATAAAAACTAATTCAAAATATTAATAAAAAATTATAACAGCATTTTAATGCCACTAAAATAACACTGGTTTCAAAAGGTTTATCTGTGTCTTATTTGTAATTTTTCTGGTCAAAAGTGATTCTTTATTTACCCAACAATGTTTTATTTTTTGTTTGTTATACACATTGCAGAATAGTTTTGTGATTAAAAAATAGATCAGAACCACCTATATGCACTTTAAATGCATCTTGCATGCATTTTTGCATTAACATAATGATCATGTTCAGGATTTCTTTCCCGTTTCTTACCAGTTTGACTTGTCTGTCTCTCTCATGAACTTCCTCCCACTGACGTCTCTCTTCCAGCATGCGCTGGAGTAGTTTATGAGTGTCGATCTCCTCTGTGCCCTCCAGCATGCTCTCCGGTGCCATCCGTCCTCTCATGAGCGTATGCAGGAGTGGCAGCAGCAGATGTTTGTTGTATCTTTCCAGCTGCTGATCCTGATCTAGAGTCGTCATAGAGGTCTCAGCATTGTCTTCTGGATCCTCAGGTCTGACCTGCTCATCTGTGCTTTTCTTGCCCATTAAGTGCCCTAAAACACATATAGATCATTATAGACTGAGCATTGCTCTGATTTTAAGTAAAATGAATACATTTAAAACAAATATAATTGAACCTATATAGGTTAGGATAGCCTACGGAGAGCATCTCCACACTTAAATAAGACTTCATGTGCAGGTTGCAAACAAAGTCAAAACAATGCAATTGATGTATAATACAACCTAATCAAGAAAAAATATATATATTAGCTATTTAAACCAATGTTGAATCTAGTCTGGTATTAATGTGCAAACAAAATGCAATTTGCGCCAAAATAATACATAATTCCTTCTATTCACCATGTCACAATTCACTTTATGAGCAATTGTTTAATACAGCACTAGCTCCATTGAACTCGATCTCAAATCTCAATCTCTAAAATCAAAAGAAAGTATCATATTTTACCTTTATTAACAAATTCTTCACGCAAACACACAAAAAGGCAGTTGCATGCTATTTTCATCCAGTTAAAGCACGGCTGTTAGTCTGTTAATTTCACCCCATGGATCCTCTTTCCCTCTTCAGACTCATACATTTCACGTTCTTTAGATCAGCATATTAATTTATAAACTGTTTTTTTTTTTCATGTATGGTATAGGCACACACCAATTTAAATTTGATATTTTATCATTTAATTTAATTTAATTTTTTTATATTTTTATTACTGCCTGTTCATATACATATCATACGTATTCTTTATATAATATGTAGAAAAATACATTTCATTTGTCAACAAGTATTGTTGTTGCACATTTGACAAATAACACTGACTTAAATTGTCAACCTTCATTAAGCATTTTTATACAGTTTTCTATTAAAAAAAACAAAACAATACATGTAAATGCAGTGTATGCAGAGTCTTGAGTGTAAAAGAAAATATGCAGGATAAAATTAAAAAAATAATATACATTTAAATACTTTAAGTACTCTCCTCCAAAACAATACGTGTATACGTGTATATTTATAAGTGTAAGACCCAAAATATTTTTAAGTGGTCAATTAAAAATATGATTTTAACTCACCAACAGCCCAGTGATTTCCGCGAGGATAAACTTTTCCAATTGGTTGTGCGTCTGATGCATAAACATCACCGAGCACAATAACCAGAGTGATGGAAACGACTAATCTGTATCTCCATACAAGGCACATAACGCTCAGGTAAGACTCGAGTCCCTTCAGCTTATTTGATCAGTACTCCTGTACTTGCTCGTGCATTTATCGCTAGTAGAGGCCCGTGAAATGCTGCATATGGATAATCACTTCATCTTTATACTCCCGTGACGACGACCACTTAGAAAGTGAAAGAAAATGACGCGATAATTTCGTGCGCTATTGAGAGAAATGGTCGTTCCAGTGTCTGGATGACTCGTGTGGGGTGGGACGCTGAAAGTTGAATGCCCCCCTCCCAGGGGTTCTGCGTCAGTATCTTGGTGGGTTAGGCTACTTGACATAAAAACAGAATGTCATGTTGAGCTAACCTGTCATTATCTCAGCCACGGGCTATTGTGTTTCCCCAAGACAGATTCAATGTGAAATGTCATCAGTATTTCATTAGATGCAGGTAAAATAGCTTGTAAATGGCTTCTTATTGTTTTCTCGTGCAGTTTGTGTAATAGACGCCAATTGCTTTATGGCATAGGAAAATAAAGACAGAGAGAGGTCTCTCATACTGGTCTTAACTGATTTAAACTGGTCCCTGACCTGCTAAATAATGCTCCAAACCCCTTTAAAACCAGCCGAAAAATATTTTATTTTATTATATAGCAGGGAAATTTATAATAAAGTTTCTGGTAATGGAGACTGATGGCGTAAATCATGTCAACATATCTCCAGTTACAAATCTATTTATATTATAATACAAAGACATTATAGGCTATATACATAAATACAGTGGTTGGTTCTCCAGACATATTTTTTTTCTCCTTTTTTATTTTAATTTAATTTAATTTATTTTTTATTTCATGACCATTTCTGTGAAACCATAGCATGCTATATTCATTATATATATCATCATGTTATATTTGTTTTATTGTTATTTTTAGGACTGCAAAACAAGTATTTTGATTAAATTAAAATGAATATAAAAGTCAAACATTTAAACAAACATGAACATCTACATGAGTGCACAAAACCCCAGTTAGTGCAACACAACAAAGATGAAAGATCAACATATTTTTCTTCTTCATTTTTATTATTTAGTTATTTTTAAATTTAAAAGAAATTTAATTTTTTTTCATGAATATATATTTTTTATAAAAACTATATATATATATATATATATAGTTTTATAAAAAATATATATTCATGAAAAAAATTATATATATATATCGTATGAAATTTGTTTTTACTGTTATTTTTCATCAATTTAATCATCAGTGTAAAGTGCTGGGTGCAGATGTACAACTAGGAGAGAAATTAGTTGGCACTCATCACTGATATCAGCAGTTAATTTCACATCTCTCACCCAGCAAGCAACATCCCTGTAACCTCCTAAAGCTTGTAATGTTCTGTAAATCGGAAAGAACAGATGGGCTTTGATGCTTGTGGTTTTACTTGGATGGAAAAACCAACAAGTGAACAATAGGCACATGCAGATGAAGCGATATGTGAGGCTTTCTGTGAATTTATGTAATGATTATTCATAAGATATCTTATTGGAATAATCCTATTTAAAGATATAATATTTCCGGATAATGTGACCCAGATAGCAAAGCCTGAAAATTATGGACAAGACCTCGAAGGCACTGTCAGTTTGGTAAAACAACACAAAGCAGGGCAGGTGAGGTGAGTTTCTCATGCTGCTGTTTACCTCATCATCACCGAGTAAGGCTTAAAGGCAGAGTAAGCGATTTCTGGTAGCCCATGTTGATATTTGAAATCACCAAAACAAACACGCCCCTACCCCAAAAGGGTCTTGCCCCTATTTTGATAGCTCCGCCCCACATATACGTATGCAACCCAGGCAACGATTAGTTCTGTGAATCAAAGCAAAACCAATGTTACACCGTGTCTACGGACGTGAGCGGCGCGGCGCAACAAATCCCAGACAGAAAACTGCTGCCAGGTTCTATTTATGACGTGCTGACACAAATTTCAAATGGTTTTCAACAGTCGTTTGATCGCGTCCAGTGTAGGCAGACTTTAGCTGTTATAGACACGGTGTTACTCACCTATTGAGAAGAAACAAAGCAACCTCGGCGTCCGATCGCAGGCCTCCGCTCCTTGAGTTCTCTCCAGCGCTGGAAAGCTGATCCGATATTTACACGGGTCCTACTTCTTGCCTTATCGTTCCGCAGACGTTTTCCTCTTTTGTTTTTTATCCGCCATCTCTATCTTTCTGTCGCTCGGCTCCGCTAATGTCCGTCCCATGCACTGAAAGCTCTCTCCTCCACATCACGAGTAGACACGCCCCTTATTGCTGATTGGCTACAAGTTTGTTTTGCTATTCGGCCCGAATCAGTTTTCTAAAGTGTTTTTGAAAAATCACATACCCTGCCTTTAAGTTCTTCATGATATTAAGTGTGAACGTCAAAAGAGAAATGAGTTTTATAGCAACAAGTAGAGTTAATTATTTTTGCAAAGTTAAGTATGTTGCTTTGCTTGTTGTTGTTGTTTTGTTTTTTTAATGAACTGAACATTTGTCAAGACTAAAAATGGACATAACTGTAGTTTGTGTTTAATCGCATGCAACTAGAATAACATGTAATTCCTGAAATTAATCACAGCATGACTTTCACCACTAGATGGAACTATTTGGTTTCATTTGAAGGTTGTTGCACAAATTCTGGTATCAGTTGACCAGAGGACATGTCAATATAGAAGGACAAAAACTTAAGTATGACGCTTTAACGTATAATAATAAAAGCCCAGTCACAGTTGAGTGATTTATAATAATTTCATCATGTAAAAAACAAATGCATTTATTTGCAATACTGCATAAATTGCTGCATTCTGTATAGGCTGGATTCAGAATGACATTAAAAATGCAATTGTAAATCACGATATTACTTTAAGAGTATTGCCGCAGGCCCAGTAAGCAAACTGAGTAACCTACCTTTTTTCAGATCAGATTAAATATGAAAAGGTCAGAAATGAAAAGATGTCAACACAATACCCTTAAAGACATCCAGGTCAAATTTCCATTCATTCTGTCAAAGTTTTAGGCTACTACTGTAAATTATGGTTATATTTGGCTAAAAATGACTAATTTGTAATATTCGTTTTTTTTAAAGTTTTTTTAATGTAAATGTTACTGCGTGATTGTGTCCACAAACGTGGTATTCACAATTATTTAGGCATATTAATAATGTGCTTAGATTGTTTAGGTTACTAGAGACTCCTGTTTTTTTTTGTTTTTTTTACTTGACTCCTGTTTATCAACCAGCACATTGCTTGCTGATGTGTGCAGCAAAGACTTCTGGGAATCAAGTTTAGTCCTATGAGGAGCTGAACTGGGTGGCTGCAACTCACATACTAAGTAGGCTAAACGCATGATGTTAAGAAACATGTAAACAGATGAATATTACAATAAAAATCTGGTTTAATAGGAGCATGTTTAAATATCAATTCCGACCATGAAGATTATAAGGAGCGAATAGGCATCACCGCGGTGATTCATGGGTAAGTGTGGCTCAAAACCAACAATCCACAAACTTTCCATGGGAATCGTCAATTATGTTCCATCATTTGGCCATAATACGTAAGAACGCAAATGTATTGTACGGACTTGTTTTGAGAAAGAGATCAAATTATGTTTGATATCAAATCATATACCAACCGAAGATTTTCTTTTCCAAGTGCGGTGTATGAATCGTTCTTATGAGTCGGATCTTTTCAATGAATCAGTTGATCCGGTTCACGTAACCGGTCTTTCACGGATCAGACTGAATGAATGGTTCACGAACCAGTGGTCCAAAAGAACCGAGAACAAAACTTTCGGACATGTCCGATTCGCAGTGATTCGGATTAAACGGAATGAATTTTATGTATCGTTGTATTACTCAGCCATATTATAATTCTATTTGTTCTATGCTAATAATAAAAGTAGTTTAGATTGTTCGAACCTATAAGCAACTGAGTCGGTCTCTTAACATAGGCTAAAGATTCCTAACAAGCCACCGATGGATAATCTGATAATAAGTAGAGAATTTGACCAATGAGGCGAAAAATACGTGTAAAAAAATAACTTCAGTTGCCAAACAACATAAAATTTCTAAATTTCTAAATAAAGGTAATATGATTACAGCTTGATGCACACATTTACAACAGAGTTGGTTTTAACATTTTATTAAAACGTCCATAACTTTTCAGCCTAGAATTCGAACATTTAAGTTTTATTTTTTTGAACATTTGAATCATGGCTGCAGCAAAATGCACCAGGACACATATAAATAAATAAAACTTTATAAAAATGTAATAAACATCACTCTGTGACTACACAGAACGTTAGAGCATGTAATATGCCACGCCGGAAGCACGTATGATGCAGTGGCGTCGTGACGTAAAAGATTCATTGAATCATTTTTAGAAACGAACTGTTAAAAAAAACGAATCGTTGAATCATGCCGCTGTGATAATCGCAAGGGTTTTGGGGATTGACAGTAAAAAAAAAAAAAAAATCAGCTCACGATATTCAAGCAGTGAAGTACAAAATACATGGTTATATGACGCAAATGTTCGTTTCATACCGAAACCTTTTACAAATGTAAGGGCAATCTTTGAGAGAACATTTACAAAATGAAAGAAGAAAAGCAACATTATTCTGTTAATAAGAGCGTATAAATACAACGCGCTTTGCGAGAACTCCGTGGTGGCGTCATACAACGTTTTGAAAGTCGAATGTAACAATAATGTTGCAGCTGGCAGTATTATGGCACGATATAAGGAATCAATAGGACACCGGCGGTCATGTGACTGCGTTTACATCTCGTGGGGTGGGCAGCAGCCTCTCCATGTCTTACTGCCTTATTCGGCAGGGGGAAAGCCATGCATTCTCGATCATATGAGGTCTGCTTGCACCCATGAGCAACGTTTTGCAATGCTTTTTGACAGCACTGCAATGTATTTCTGAGTCCCTCTTTCATGCATACTGATGATGTCTGTCATTCTAGGTTGTGCTGTGCATAGCTGAATTTGGTGGTGCAACAGCAAGAATCATGGCTGGCCTTCTTGCCTTTGATATTTGCCTTTGCTGCCCTGCTGAGAAGAAGAGCCCTCACATGCAAGCTTTTAATTGAGACACAGCCCTTTCTTACAATAACCCACAGGTAGGTCAGCATCTGTTCTTTGCTCTTTGAATGGGTCCTTTCGATAGCTGTCTTTGTGGTAGGCCAGGAGGGTTGCTGGTAATGGGGTGTAGTGGAGAGCATACATGCGTTTATTGGCCGTAGCATTGCTGCCGTCATGGTTTTCTGGTTTGAATGGGGGATTTCGTTTGCTGTACTTTGAGTCTGTTGGTTTGTTGTGCAATAGCTAC